GAAGAGGACGATATCTGCTTTGTCATGCCTAGAGCTGATCCGTGCTGGTCGCTGAGGAAATACATCAACTTCGCGCCGCATGCGGAACGCCGGATCGGCTTTCACCGTGGATGAAGCGGAGTACAGCCCGGGGTCGTCACATGTGGTTGCCGCAAACCCACCGGCCGCTCCTTCGTCGAATCGTCGAGAGTAGACTACAATGCCGGCTGTTCTGACTCACAGACTGTAAGTACGTTTTAATTTAAAGAATTTGCCACTGATGATTCAAACGTGAGTTTTGAGCAGTGTAGAGTAGCGCTTGTTTGTCATTTCTCCGATCACAAATGCAGACATGGTTTTATGTTTACGCGGCGCGATGCAACGCAACGCGTAAAAAGACAGTATAAATCATTATAATCCGTAATTATGTCCCCACTGGATGCAACAAATGCCTCGTTTATAATGGGTTTTCATGTTTTTAAATCGTAGCTCCGGCCGGACAGTGCATCACAGTATGGTAAGGGGTGTAACATTTCCGTCACACACTTGAGGTATTCGGCCAATCACAATGCACTGGATAGCTGGCCAATCACAGCACACCTCGCTTTTCAGACTGATGAGCTTTGTAAAAATCGATGCGTTTCAGAAAGGCGGGGCATAGAGGAGAAACAATAATGTACAGTATGTGGAAAATGTGTTTTTTTAACTTTAAACCGCATAAACACATTTCATTACACCAAAAACACAAAAATAATGTTCTTTTTAGTAACATCATATGACCCCTTTAAAAACCTCATGATCATATTTTCCAGCATGATTTGAGGATCTTTCAGAAGTCATAAGCTTCTCAGTGCAAGCGAGGAAATCTGACCTTTTGTTCAAAGAGCTCACATGCTGATTGCCACAAATTTGCTTATTTGATTAGTGGCCTAGAAATAATGTTAAATTTCCATGTTTACGGGTTTAAACAAAGTAAATGAAAATTCCAAATGTGTGGGGCTATATATTTTTTGAAAATTTATTCATATAAGTTGACATGTTTCCTCCACGAGATTGGCACAGATGTGTTTTAGTAACCTAGCAGCTCGGCAGTAGACTGGAGGACAGCAGATGGAAAAGGTTTAATCCAAGCAGATGTCTCAGCTTAGCCGTAAAACCATGCATGAGGCCAGTCGCTCAGTTTGGTCCCTTAATGAGTCAAATACACTCACACAGCATGCCGATGGGCTATTACAGCTGTAAATAGCTAAAGTTATAACACTGGTCCTCGAAGTTGATTAGCATACTCAGTTTGTCAGTGTTTCCAGACTGACTTTTCTAGGGATTTCCGCTGACCTTTTTTGCAGGTTATATCGTTACGCCAGTAGGTGGCGACAAGTGACTTTATAAGTCATTGAATAATTCACTCAAACGATTCGTTCAAACAAATGATAGATTGCCTATAAATGATATTGTACTATAAATATAGAGATATAAATATATTATAAATAATAAGCAAAAAAGACAGAAGTGTGTAAGTTTCTCAATATGAACTTTTGTTTCTGATTTCAGCTCATGAGAGCCGAATTACAATCAGGAACAAAGGTGCTATTACTCGTGTGATATTGCTCATAGTCCTCGAATAAGGCAAAGATGAACTCCAGTCAGAGTGTTGTTATTTTATTAATTTCAGAAGTGCTGAAAATGTCCCGTTCCCTTCCTCACGTTCCGCACTCTTCAGATATAAATCCAATAAAGACTTTATTTTCACAGACCTGTTCGACTTCTAATCACTCCTCCCTTTTGAGAGACTGACAGTTTATCCCTCTGCACGGTTCATTTGCAGTGATTAGCTTTAATCATGCATTTATAGGTGTACATTCAAAAAAAAAAAAGCTAGAGGGAGACTTTGACCACTGTTACTTACACAGCAGTTACTGCTGGTGCTTCCAGACCTGCATAGTCTACATTAGATGTTTTAAGTTTAAAAGTGATAAAGTAACTCAATAAGCCTATGTTGTGGAGTGATAGCCTACATGTTGTCACAGCGACTTATAGGAACAAACCTTTGCAGTTTTCACAGTAAATCATTTGGTGCCTTATATATTTTACTTACTATACTTTTATAAAATATTTTACTGCAAGTGTAAAATGTTAAAAGGTTTGAATGGAAATGATGTTTTTGCTTAGAAAAATAGAAAAACACACTTTAGTTTGAGGACCAATTCTCACTATTAACTATTAACTACGACTTTTGCCTCAATAAACTCCTAATTTGCTGATTATTAATAATTAGTAAGGTAGTTGTTAGGTTTAGGTATGGGGTACAGGATCTAAAATATGGTCATGCAGAATAAGACATCTTTAAGTACTAATAAACAGTCAATATAAGCATGCTAATAAGCAGCTAGTTAATAGTGAGAACTGGTACCTAATCTAAAGTGCTACAGATAAATATTTAATAGTATGATTATATGTATTGCCCTTAAATCCTATTTATTTTTTTTCTTGCAGGAGTATAATAATGATAGCCCACTAATAATTCTCTAAAACTACAGTAAACCTCAGTTTACCTTTTACTCAGGTTACTTGAAAGCAAGCACGAATTCACCAAAACACTGATTTATTGTTTCATTATTTGATATCTTTAATGACTCTCTCACTGCAGACTGCCTGTAAAACCGAACCATGTGTCAGCGGTGAACATTTTTACGACAAATGCCTCGACAGATCTCACTAAGGATGAGTGCATCAGGGGAATTTCATTAAAAGAATGACATGGAACATGAGATACAGAACACAGACAGGAAGAGTCTAGTCACATGTTTGGTGTGACTGTGATTCAGGCTTGTGAGGCGCCTGTATCAAATAGCAACAAAGACATTTTTACTGTAACACAAAGGTATTGTGCTGCATTGCTTTATTCTAATGTCAAGATCTGAAAGGCATTAAAGGGGTCATATGATGCGATTTCAAGTTTTGGGTTTGTGGTTTCAGGAACGTAGTAGTGTTGATGCAGCCATGTCAGGGAGACACTGTGTGATTCAGTGCGAAAGCAAAAGCACTTTATTTGGCCTTCCGGAAGTAGATGCAATTAGGAATCATTGGTTAAGATTTATTTACAACAGAATAGCACAACCCAGATGTTCGAATTTGTGCAACGCATTTTATGGACCACGTCGGAAGGAGGGACTTTGTAGAAAACGAAGCGTTTGAGAGAGGCGGGGCATAGAGGACCTACAATAATGTATTTGAAAAATAATGTGTTTTTTGAACATTAAAGCACGTCAACATATTCTGTTACACCAAATACACAAAATAATGATCTTTAAAATAGCATCATATGACCCCTTTAAAGAAAATTTCCTAGTCACCCAATGTCCTCTTGTTAATCAGTTCTGACGTATACAAGTTATAATGAGCCCCCATTCCTGCCATTTCTGCAGTGAGGTTTAGAATAAATAATTAGAGAACGCAAGTAAAATGGAGCTTTTCTTTTGTACACTTGAAAATTTTCGAGAAAACACGTTTCATCACTACACTAAAATAGCGTATTTATTCTTGTAAACAAGCAATATGCAAATCATAATGATTCACATTTACAGCATTTTTTAAATTATTTGTTTATTAAATGTAAATAAAAATACGATAGTTTAATACAAATATGTAAAAAAATAACAATAATATTAATGAAATTAAATAATAATATAAAAAAAAAAGGAAGTGCCAGTACAGATCATGTGAGCAGTTTGTACCAGTGATGGGGGTTTCCAGCATTTGCTTACATGGGCTTTTTTAATGTCCTTTGCTCAAGGACCGATTTCATCTACCAACTAAACTATTCATGACCATGGACTGCATATTTGAGCTTTACCATTGTAATGACTTGATTACTTTTATTTTATTTTAGGGAATTAATGTGTTATGGCAGGGAAGCGCTTGTAGCGCTGTTACCAAAGTCTTGAAGAGAGAGAGAGAGCGAGAGCGTGCCCATTTTAAGCAGGCTGACCTTTGGTCCGCCCCACGACGCGATCTTCCAATCGGACGCTGTTGCAGGGCGGAGCGTGCATACATTAACAAAGGGGCTTCAATTCATCACATGAGAAAAATCTTTGCGCAGACTTGGTTGATACTTTTATAAAGTTTCCTAATGCGAGTCTTGTACCCACTATTAAATTTTACTTCATTTCAACATTCGGCATTTGTCGTGCCCATCCGTTCAAGATTAAACTTCACATATTACCACATTTTAATAACCTTATTTCCTAAAAAGAAGGTAATAAACACTGATTAAAGTTGCACCGATTACATGAAACACATCAAGCATATATATATATATATATATATACGGCATAACACATCCAGTGGATACATTTTCACTACTCATGAGTTTTAAACGATTTGTCTTTTAAAATCGTCATGCAAGGTTCTGTTTCTTTGTCTGTGACACAAGAAACGTAAGGGTTTCAGTCATGCAGGAAGCAGGTGGTCAAAAGTCATGTGGCGTCACGCTGTGTATCCCGTGTTTGCGGGCCT